TGCTGAGTCGATTCGGGGCGTCTTGCAGAAGCAGAAGTACCTTGAGGTGCGTGCAGAGAAGGTGCGGGCATTCATTCTGTGGCTGAAGGAGAACAATCCACTGTACAAGGACATCGAGCTTGACGAGGAGGCATTGCAAGGATTGCCGAGCTGCGGCGTGCCGGCGGAGCTCATCGATGCTGCCGAAGAGTCCGATATGGTTGCTGAGCACAGCGCAGAGTCAGCCGGCATAGACAACTCGAGGCGCGTCGAGCCTAGTGAGGCACACAGACACACTGAGAGAAGCACGTGTGCTTAGGTCTTGCATCATGTGTTGTTTTCGCCAGCTGCCGTGGATCATGTGATGGCGGCAGAGACGTCGGGTTTCGCCACGGTGTCGAACACGTCCCTAACAGCCTCGAAGATGCAGGCGAACGCTGTTGCTGCTCTTCTTCGCGAGAAGACGGAAGCGCCTGCACACAGGGTAATCGAGGAAGCCGGGCTGATCTCATCAAATGCTGTAGCATCCCTGGGCTTGGCTGCGGATGTGCGTACCTTCAATGGGTCTCAAATCGATGTTGCCGGCCAGCTGGAGGTCATCGCGGCCAACGCTGGAGACCCAGTGACTGGCGAGCATGCAAGGATGGTCAAGGCGGCTGTGGACTTAGTAAACAGTGCGATTCGCGCTGTGTCTGAGCTGATAGACGCTGCTAGGAGGGATGGCGTGGCTGACGGGTCAGTCGAGGCAACAATGGCGTGCATCCGAGCAGCCACCACAGCATGCCGGCAGCGCGCGGAAGAGCTTGAGCGCTCAGAGTCTCAAGGCAAGGGTGCGCATATGACTGCGAAGCAGTGCCTCATCACAGTCATCACGCAGCTCGCCGATCGATGCTTGGACTGTCAGCGGTTCGCCCGTCTTGTGCAGCTAGAGGTGGACCACAGCCGCTTCAGCGAGCACGCAAAAGAGCGGTCCGGCAGCACCAGAGCGGCAGCCGCGCCAGATGAGTTGCTGGACGAAGAGGAGATCGATTACGACGCTTTGTTGGGGCATGGCGATGGCCACAATGACGACTGCGAGGCGGCAGCACCAGAGCGGCAGCCGCGCCAGATGAGTTGCCGGACGAAGAGGAGATCGATTACGACGCTTTGTTGGGGCATGGCGATGGCCACAATGACGACTGCGAGGCGCAGGGTGCTTGTAGGGATGCTGATAGCGACGTGGCAGGACGTGACGACGCTGCAGAGGGTGATGCAGAGCCTGAGGAGCAGGATGCCACGGCAACGACAGACGAGTGCATAGTTCAGGCACCAGTACGGCAGTCAAAGCAAGCTCACCAGTGCGCTGCGGTCGGCGGTGTGGTGTACGTGATGCATCGCGAATGGGAAGTCCCTATCAGTGACATCAAGAATCCAATGTATCTCGCTGGCAATTTCCCTACGCTCTTTCCGCACCTTCAAGTAAGCACTAGAAGCATTCCCGCGACAGCAGCACATTCACTTGAGTGGATCATTAGCGTTGTGTCCTTGTGCGTACTTTGCAGGTTTGTGTGCTTTGACATGCTGCAGCGCCGCATGGCCAACCAAGCAAGATGCACGCTGGTATCGAATCGGGGCTTTGCGCGGTCAGCCGAAGAGATTATGCAGCACGACGTCAGCATGTGGAGAGATTACTTGGCGGCACTGAAGGATGAGAACCCTGCAAAAGCGACCAAGGACAGGAATGTGAATGCGTTGCTGCGGGAAGTGAAGGTGCTTGGCAAACACATACCTGGTTCGTATGGCTCCAAGTCTCGAATGCGGCAAGAGATTCAGAAGGGCCTCATGTACAATTTCGGCCTCCCAACACTCTTCATCACGTTGAATCCCAATGATCTCAAGCATCCTCTTTTACTGGTGACGGCAGGCGAAGGGACTGACAAGGTACAGTATGGGATAGAGTCGTCGGTGTCCAAGGAGCTGCAGAGGAAATTCGCGTCCACAGTGGCGTCCGATCCGATCGCAGCCGCGCTCTTCTTCGACGCGCTCATCAACGC